GGGGGGGGGGGTCCCATGCAGTGGGTCCAAGGATTAGGGAGCCTACTCTGCTGACGTTCTTTTGTTTGGGGTCTCTCATTTTCTGAAACACCTTTATCATGATTATGATGATGATAATTATTATTATATTTCGCTGATGGTGATGAGCATGAGAATGACGAGAATGCTGATGAGGATGAAATTGTGATGGCCGTGGTGGAGTTTTTGCAATTATGATGATGACGATGGGGATGGCGATCAAGACCCATAGATCAATATATGCCATAGACAACGTGTGGACAGCAAGACTTCAAGATTCGCAGGAGCAAGGATAGTTAAGGCAGTTAAGGCTTGTATGGAGGGGTCGGGGCAGCTTCGGCCTTTCTCGCGGGTGAAGCCGAAGATCTTGTAGCCCTCTGCGAAGTTTTCGAGGCCTCCCTCATTTTTGTCCAGCTCGCCAAGCCAGTAGCGGTAGCCTGGGAAGGGTCTCATGGGCGAGCTAAAGTACATGCCCCCCCCCGCCCAGAAAGGCTGCTTCATCGCTTCCATCCTCTTTAGACTCTTGGAATCACAACCGTAGCAGAAAACTGACGGCCGGACCGTTCACTCGATCCCAAATTTGACCTGCACAGTCTGGTGCTCTCGTGGGCACCAAGCCCATGTACTGTCTTGCCATGCCCACGAGGACCAGCCCCAACCCCACAGCCACATTAGTTCTGAACCCCAAACTCCACAAGCAGAGGCCTGAAGGGGGCCCAAACCCTCTGAAGCGTGACGTGAAAATGTTCAGGCTTTAGGGGCCCAAAACACCACTGCATGCAGCTTGCAGAGTTTCTTCCAGCGCCTTGGCAAGCCTCGAGGGTACGATCGATTTCGAAGATTCTCAAAGACATTCTGACCTTTGCCAGTCCCACTCATGCTTGCACGTATGTACGGCATGGATGTGCTTTCCTGCTGTTTCGTTGTGTGCCATGTGAGCACCTGAGTGCAAAGGTGCGTGCGTGCGTGCATGTACGCCTAGATGTATGTATACAGGAGCGCATGCATGCCCATACCTATATATGTATGCTGCATAGGTACACTGTGTATATGTCAGTGTAAACAAACAGTACCCCTGACGGAGTGGCGTGGGAAACAAACATCAAATCTGGGAATACGGTATTTGAAGCCCCTGCGGCCAAGATGCTCCGGCACAGCAACTAGTTTCTGCGGAAGCTTGCTACTGTTAGCTCAGATGTTTGGCATTGCGGTCTGGTGAGGGTGTTGTTGGCTTCCACATCTCTACCTGCAACAACTGTCAACGAACTAATGTCATCTCAGATATGATTTGTTGCGACAAACCACGGCTGTTTCCAAATGGCTGCAGACACAGCTGGCAAGAGAAGGCTACCGGCGCCAGCTATCGAAACAGCACACAAGAGCACCCTTCTCCCAGCCACAGGAGCTCTAGGCTCGCGACTGCGCTCCTAGGCTCAGGTAACAAGCCGTCCGGAACCAGCGCCTGCTGGAAGTCCATGCGGCCAGGCGGCCATGGGTGCTTCTGTTAGTAGTTGATGGACGTATTTCGGCTGTGAGAGGCGAACAGCTACGCAAAGCGCAGATGCTGGCTGGCGCAGTCATTGTTGGTGTGCGAAAGTTTTCCGTTTTCCGTGCTGTCGCGTGTAAATCAGATGCGCAAAGCATAGCAGAAATGCCAGCGGCCAGGAAAAGTTGCTACCACTGCGGCAATCATCGCCCTGCGTTGAGGTGGGCTTCGGTGTGCAGTCTGCAAGGCTCGGGGGGAAGATGCACGGATCGGCCCCGCTCTTTTGCATGGCGCAGTCAGCGGCCACCGTATTCAGACCAAGGTATCCTGGCAGAGGGATGCAGACGGCAAGCCTTTTTTATCATTTTATATTGCACTTGACTTTCGATTCTTTCCAGCTTAGCTACGTCTCCAGAAGCTTTTCATTGAAAATGCGAGTTGAATCTCCCTTTGTGATGCAGGCAAGCAACGGCAGCTGCAATGACAATGACCCTGCTTGCAATAGACAAGTCAAGGGCACCTCAGCCTACCGCTGACCGTGGACGTCGGCGCTTGCGTGCGTTCGGGAGTCACCTCCCTGGACGGCAAGAACTCCCCGAAACCTTGCGGCATGTGGCAGGATAAGTCATAGGGAAAGGGCTGCTGATGCATCGTCTCATCTGGAGCCTACTGACATGCAACAGAACAGCCCTCGAAGCTGACATGATTCCACTCGTGCGATGGAAGGCTTGCCGCCAGGTCTCCATCGAAGATGTATTCCACCTGCTTCAACAGACACATCAATGGAAGGCAGGGAAGCCGGCCCGAGCAAAATTCTCCCGCTGACCAGCCTGCACCCCCCAAATGCAACATCTCAGAAAGACACACGCGCAGTGTCTAGCTCAAGAACTAGTAAGTTAACTCCAACCAACTTCAGCAAGACAAACTGCTACAACCACACCTGATCCACCAGCATCTCGAACCCTAAACCCGAAGCCCAAAGCCCTATAAAGCCCGGAACAAAACCCTAAACTAAACGCCTAAACCCTTTAACAATCCGTAAACCCTTCGGCGGCGCTGGTCCCGGACCAAGGCACTCTGGCTCGGATTGTCTGCAAGACTGCACAGCATTGAAAGGCCCCTAAACTCCCGCAACGCGCTAACACAAGCCGATTCAGAAGCCAACTGTTTTCGAAGACTTCTCGCCGCGACTCTAAACCACAGGAACTCCCTCTGAGCCCTAGCCTAAAACTCAACAAAGACCAAAAAAGTTCACTAAACGCCAGCTCCCTCTGCAGACCCCCGACCAAAGCCTGAAACTCCACAGAATTTGCCGCTCAAGCCTAAACCCTAAGCCCTAAAGCCCTAAATCCTAAACCCTAAGGGCCCTAAAGCCTAAGGGCCCTAAAGCCCCATCAAACCCTAAAACCCCCTGGGCCTTGAGAGCGAGGCCTGCCTTCTGCAACCAGGGCCAGAGGTCGTGGCCAGACCACGCCTGCTCGCGGTAGTTGCCTGGGATGCGATGTCAGGGAGGCAATAAGGAGTACTATTAGGGTTTAGGGTTGAGGATTAGGGTTTAGGGTTTAGGGTTTAGGGTAATGGAGGCAATAAGGATTACCATTGGGGTTTATAGGGTTGAGGATTACTATATTACTATTGGGTTTAGGGTTGAGGATTACTATATTACTATTTGGGTTTAGGGTTGAGGATTACTATATACCAGGGAAGCTCTTTTTTTTAAGGGAGATACGGTAAGGGCTATCCTGAGGGTTATCAAGTTTACCGTTGTAGTCTGGCCTACGCAGGGTTTAGGAAGAGAGTCTGGGCAAAGACTGGCGAAGGTTTCAATGGGAGCTTACATCGCTGGAATTTCCACAGTGAAAGCTTAAACCGTGGCCAAGGATCCTACTCTTTCGTGACTATGTCAGGGTCCCGTAACTTACGGTGCTGACGAAAGTTGCAACAGCAAGAACAGCTCTGAAGGTCTGGGGGAAGCAAGTTGGGAGCAGAAAGAACGATTTCGGCCTGCACCGAACTCCGCAGCGTTGTGTGCTTTCTTTTACATGCCCGGGGCAAGGCATCACGGCTTTTATTCGCGGACGTCTTGTCAAGTCCGCCGCACTGGACGCTCCCACTAGCCCTCCGTGAACTGAAGCTTTGGTTCCGACCTGACAGCCATGAAGCCCAAGAAGATCCTCCGTTCACCGCAGAACGAAAGGAAACCCAACACCCCCAAATTCAAACCAAAGCAAATTTATGAAACAAAAACCATAGCACAAGGCTAAACTAAAGGAAACAACCACAATACAGAACCGTGGCGTAGTGGGAATACTAAGGACAAATGATGGATCATAATGACCACCCTCATACACGCCCAACCCCAAAAAACGAAGCCAAAGCCAGTCCCAGTCGCTGTTATCAACGAAAGGGCACTCGTAGGTCTTGGCCTAGGCTTTTACGGCTGCAGAGTTTTGGGGGTTTTGGCGATTATGGGATTTTCCTCTAGAGGCTCTTCTGGGGTCGTCTGCGCAGGTTCGTTTATGGGTGTTCTTGCAAAGCTTTACTTCTGAATGCTTCGTAAGTTTCTGAAGGCATCGTTCTGGTGCTTTAAGAATTCGTAAACGTCCGAGTGCAGGTTGTTGTAGGATATTTGTTGTACGTTATCAACAAATTGTCGAAAGCTTTGTTAGGGCCGTTAGGGAGTCGGTGTATGGCTGCTTGTGAGTTCTCGCACTGCTGTTGAAGGGGTTCTCACAGGGCTCTTGTGATTTTTCGAAACTCTCCGTCACCTCTCATTTATAATGTGGTTTTGTTAGGGGTAATTGCAGCTTTCTCTGAATGGCTTCTCACAAGGGCTTAGTCTAAGTTATTCAAAGGCTCTTCCGAGCAACTGACAGTTCTTGACAGCATTCTTGCATGGCAACTACAAGTATTCCGGGCTATGACAGGGCAAGTAGAACAACATAGCTTGAATGCACTTGCAGATTGCATGGCCTCCCGCCCTACAACGACTCTGTTGGCTGACACTGCTGCTGTTTTTGATACCGACTATCATGAATTGTGGCTGCAACACCTTCACTGTAGATGGATCATGATGTTACAAGCTGAAACACTAACAGCAATTCTTGCTGTTTGCTGTTGCTACAAAAGTTGAAAAGATAGGACCTTAGGATCGCCACTGAGTGCAGGGCCAGCGTAACAACAAAGATACGTTCGGATCCGCGACCTTTCGCTGTCGACGGCATGCTCATAAACAGGGGCGCGACTGCCACGAAATCTCTTCAAGGCTTCAAAGAACAGGCAGGATGAAGATGTTGTTGCTTGAGAATCTGCTCGTTGTGAGGGCTTTGGAAACCAAGACTATCGACGAACAGCGAGCCCGTACTGCCTTCTTGTCGCCCATCGTCATCCACGACTGGGCACTGCACGAGCTTCTTCCTCCCCAGGCAGATATGGACAGCATAAGTTGAGAATTCGGGATCTGGGCCTTGCTGAACAGTTTAGTCTTAGAAGGGCTTGGAGGTCCGAGGCTCAGGACTCGCCGTGGAGCCAGACTAGCTGTTCGCTCTCTGGTACGATTAGATCACCTGCTTCGAAAGATAAGAGATAAATTGATAAATCTGCCGACGATGTGCGAACTCACGCACCCATCGCGCTGACAGCTGCCTCACAGCCCCCCCCCCTTCTTCCGTGAAGGGCAGGGTTTCGAAGCGGGCACCACTGGTGCCGAAGCATTGTTACTGCTTGTTGCTTGTTCCTGCCGCCACCATGCAAACACCGGAACCCTCAAGGTCAAACCCTGAATCCCGAGACCCTAGACCACACAACCCTAACCCAGTGGCCTGAATCACATAATGAGCCTAAACGCTCGGTTCATCCTAAACTTCAACCCTGGACCAGTAATCTTAAATCCTGCAACCTGAAGTCAATTCATCCCACGCCAGCCTCAACTCGGCCGGCGGTGAATGCCGGGCCAGCGTTGCCTGCGAAGGCCACGTGTTCTGCAGATACAGCCGCTATCAGCTTCATTATCAACGTGCGCTTAGATTTTGGCTGGAAGCTGATACAGTTTACGAGCTTAGGGTTGAAAGGTCTATGGGTATTTTGTCTTTGTGTAGGGGATGGAGATTTAAGTTTTGGGCTTTAGTGCCTGAAGCCCGCAAGCTCCCAAAACTCCCATGCTTGCGCGGCGGAATCCGGAGGACATTGTAGATAATGTAGACCCCTGATTCATCGAATCCGGCTACCCCTAATGTTGGGGATCTAAAGGAAACGGTGCTTATTAATCAACCCTAAACCCTAAACCCCTAAACCCTAAACCCCCGAACCCCTAAACCCTAAACCCTAAAAGTCTACCTTAATTAGGGCTTCTGCATCTTTTGGGGTCGGTTTTGGGCCTCAAGGGAAGGTTTCAGGCTGTTGGCGGTTCGGGGCTGCCGATCCCTTTTGTGAGGGGTTTTGGGGTTAGTGCTCAGGATGTGGAGTGCTTTCGCTTTCACAACTTAAAGTCGAGGGCTGCTACAGTAGACTGTAAATTCTATACTTGGTGTGAAGATCGGGTCGGATTTGCCACTAGGCTGACGGTCTTTGGGCTTGGGGGTGCTCCAACTTTTGTGAACCTCAGAGCCGCTTATGAGCACCCCGAGCCGAGGACACCATGGTGCAGGGTGTTCTCGAGGATGTGGGGTCGGAATCAAGACGCTTGGACTGAATTGAGTGGTAGCCAGTGGAACTATCTGACGCTGAGTGCTGCCTGTACTGTCCTCATACCGTATACGGTATACATGCAACTGCTGTGGTCGTTGGACTGATTGCCACCATAGTTCTCAACATCACCTGTCACCATGCGCAACTAACTAGTTAACTAGTTGTTTCGTGTCCAAGCTGCTGGAATCTCGATGCTTGGGCGAAACCGCTGCGAACAAAAACAGAGTTGTGGTATCACTATATGTAGGGACTGTAAGGGATAATAAACAAACTCTTCGACACCGGAATTACATCCAGGGAACTCCAGGGATGTGGCACCCGTCTGGTGATGGGACGAATCAGAAGCATATTTCTGTAGATGCCGGAATTTGGAATCTCTTGAGATACACCCGCCTGGTGGCAAACAGGCTGGGTCATGAAGCCCAGTTTCTCGTAAAACTTGATGGCGCATCTCGCAGGCAACGCAGGCTTACTTGCCAAGCGGGTTTCCGAAGGCTCGCTCACGGCACAGTCAGTCCGACAGTCCTGATGCTATTGATGCTACTGCGACTGCGGCGCATGCATCAGGATATTGCAAGACGATAGCATGCAACCAGCCTCACAGCATCCCAAGGGTACGAGGATCCTTTGGGTCGGAACATGCTGCCCTTGCTCGCACTGCTGCCGATGTCCTGTCTAGGCAAGTCAAGGACGAAGGAAATTGTGCTATGCGAGATGAGTTGCTTCATGGCACGCTCTGGCAACTCCACTTACCATGTGCGACGTTGCCTGTGTTTCCGATAAGGTTGCATCTGGATCTTCTGTGCAGAGCGGCAAGCCGACGCCGACGCTAGTCTCTAGAGATCGCTTTGGATGGGGTGAGCAGCACATCAATGATTGCAGCATCGATGCGCCAAAAAAACGTAAAGTACTGGAATCAGCAGTGCTGCTAAAGGAGTAGTCACCATGCCGAGGTGGACTCAAGGAGATACACGCCGGTTTGCTACCACACCTGGAAACCTCTCTGTGCAGTAGAACACACAGATCCCCAGCGGAACAAAGTGGTAGGTCCTCACAGTTCAGCACCTGAGCAAGCGTGCACAAAGGGCTTGCATTCATGGTTTACGAAAGGCTTCCAAAAAACACTCTAGAAGCACATGACTTACACACTGCTAACGACACGGAACGAGGAGAATGTGAATAACAACCATAAGAACAGCAATAACGGTATTATCTATAGCAACGACGACTGTTGCGATAACAACGGTTTAGAAAGATGCCAACTATAGGGAAAGTGTTACTAATACTACACACTATCAGTGGTTCCGGCGTGGCTTGGGGCGTTCCTCTTGCTGCATGGTGGATGCACCAGCATCAACTACCCGGAGCTGTTCAGCCATGTTACAAGCAGTACAAAATATCTTTTCATGGTGCCAGCCGCGACAATTCTGAACCCTGAACCCGAAAAGGCTCATGCAAGGAAACTTGGTGCGCCATCTAAGCTAAGGGGTTTCCGGGCCCAGCTCGAATTCCGATCCGCCTTTCGATGCTCGGTTTAGGATTTAAGGCCTGGGGATAAGCCGAAGACCGGACCTTCCTTCATCGCTAGTACTGCAGTCACCGCTTCGATCAGTATTGCAACTACACCTCTCTTGCAGCACAACGCCAGAAATATCTTCACAGATTTACTACTTGCTGCCTGAAGTCTTACGCCAACGAAATGGGCATGCGCGCCCGAATCGCTTCAGCTGCGAGAAGGCAAGGTGAATCTCAAAGTATCGGCTCAAGGCGCGATCATGCTGCCAGCGCTGTTGGGCGAACGCCGCACCTCCCTCACCGGGATTTGCGCTGTATCTTGGCCTGACCGCGAGGGCGGCAACGATTGCAGCGGCTCAGACTTGAGAAAAGCAACTGGCTGGACTTATCTTGCGGCCTCTCATCCTTATCGCAATGAAACTGACGTGTGTCATGTTTTTTCGGCTGCTGGTGTTGTCCGTACATTCAGTATAAGGTTAAGTCAGGACGCGAACATGTACCATCTTCACCCATGTGGCCACGGGTAGTATGCTGTAAGTCACTGCCACGTTCACAGTTGCTCTTAGTCTTCCGGTAAGTCTGCTAATGTCGCCTCCGATGACGCATTACACTTGTTATGTCAACTTGTACAACTTTACAAGCGGCCTGCTGCTTGCTGCCTCGGAGTTAGTGGAGCCTGTAGGTATATAGTGTGGACCGGATCGACTGAAATCGAAAGGACCAAGCTCTTCGAAAGGACCAAACTATTTGCTGCATGCCCGGAAATGCAGACTTGTGTCCAATAGGGTCCTTGCTGTAAGGGGCGTCTACAGCAAGGCACGGCTTATCTGCTGAACAGTAGGTGACTGCAGACTTCACTTCGAACCCTAAACGACTCCCCAAGCCCAAGCCCAATCACCCTCCAATTCTCTGATCGCTGGTCTCAGAGATGGTGACACCCTAGACGGCGCTTTTGCAACTCTTACATGAATACTGCGTTGCTGCTGGAGTTTTGTGACGATGTTTCTCTGAGTAGCTGGATGGGAATGCTGTCCTTGTGGGAGAGGGCAGGTTAGAGCTGGATGCAGGCTTTTTCAACCTCCCTAAATGCCGCTCTAAACCTCAAATAGTCTCCACTCTGAAGCACGACAGGAAAACCAAGCCAAGAGTCCCTCCGCCGGGATTTCCAGCGGCTCGCTGACTTTCGGTGGCGGTGGTGGGGGAGGTCCCAGCGATCGCCTTGTGGTTGCAGGATTTTGGGTTATGGGTCTAGGGGCGGTCCCAACGATGCGAACTGTGCCGGAGGCATTCCTGAGTCTATTGGTATAGAGATCTCTAAACGCTCTCCCTGAGTCGTTGTCTTGCTTCGTTCAGTACGGTTTGGGTTTCGGGCAAATCGACTGAGCTTGGCTTCAGAGCTGCTTTCGGATTTTTGGGCTGGGCACAAAAACCATCGAAACAGCTTTGCTAGTCTTCCAGGAGCAAGACCCAAGCGCTGCGCGAGCCTCTAAGATGCCTGAAGAGCCCATGCCCGTGGTGCCAAACTGAACTAGGCATTGAAGACAACGTACGAGGTTATCACAATGCCGGCAAGCCCGGAACTGCAAACGCTTTTTAACACTGATAAATAGCGGCTACTGTTGCTATACTTACCCTAGATTATTGATAAGAACACTCTCTAAAACCCTTAGAGCTCTTGGTCAGCCAAGGCCACGAAGCGGATTTGGGCAGAACGCAAATGCGGAGCTGTCCAGGTCGCGCCCTGTCCACTTCACGCCAAAAGTCCTCCAAAAGAGGCTTTCAAGGACTCGCAAGTATCAAGGGTTTCAAAAAGCTTTTTTTACGGCTTCATGGGGTTTTCTATGTTATTACAAGTAGCAGCATAAACAAAGCCAATCGAGCTCGCCGGTCGCCCACAGAGCCCTGTACCCCTTGAGTAACGAAGACTTGCATGGAGAAAAGAAGACTAGCCCTAAATAATCCAAGATTAGAAGGGTAAGTTCCTTCACAGGAGGACTCAACCTCAAGGCACCGGAAGTAACCAACCTGCAACGTTCCGGATACCATGTGGTTTGGGGCTTTCGGGATTTTGGTTTTTGGCCGTTTAGGGCCTTCAGACTGAGTGAAACGCATCGAGCTCCAAGGCTTTAGGCAAAGATCTGAAGTTTGAAAGCGCATCTTCCTACGAATTGAGGATAGCTCCTTATAAGACATCGGGAACCTTAACCATGAAACCGAAGGCACGAGTTAGGGTTTAGGGTTTAGGGGGAAACCGGTTTGGAGT